CTAAACAAAGCTCTACTTTTCTAAGTGCCCAGCACCAACACCAACTTGGAACTGGGCATGGTAGCATACATACAAGAGTTTCATATACAGGGTTGGTTTGCTGAGACAGTGATTCACTATGTAGACCAGACTGGCTGCAAATTAGTAAGTCTTTTGCCTCAGCCTCCCAAAATGCTGGGATTATAGGCAGGCAGCCTTATGGCAGGCTAGTCCCAGCTATTCTCGAGGAACAGCAGGAAAATGGCTTGAGCCTAGAAGTTTGAGGCCAGCCTAGAATTTCACATAGTGAAATTCCCATCTCAAAACAAAAATTTTAAATTAACAAATGTGAAAATATTTTAAAGTGCAGCAAAAAACTGCCTTTCATATAATTCAATCCTTAAGAAACTATATTTTCAAGTTGGAATTGGTGGCACATGCCAGTATTCCTAGCTACCTGGGAGGCAGAAGCAAAATTACTTGAATCCAGGAATTTGAGGTCAGCATAAGCAACACAGTAAGACATTGAAAAAAGGAAACGAAAATTTTAGGTTGGTTCTATTATGTTACTGCTTTATTCTTTAGTACTTAATATACAGCAACACCAGACTAAACTTTGCCATGACAATTATTCAAAAACTTGATCTTCAAGGCTTCTGAGACCTTGTTATTACTTTTTCTGTCTTTTTGAGATACAGTCTTGCTATGCAGCTCAGGCTGGCCTTGAGCTCACTTTGTAGCCCAGGCTGGTCTCAAATTTGCAATGATCCTCTTGACTTAGTCTCTGAGTGCTGGGATTACAAGAATGAGCCACCACACCCTGTCACCTTGTTTTTACTCTGTTGTTTTTACCTATGTAATAACTATACATTTTGTTATGTTTTACAAATCTAACACTTCTTCATATGTACATGTTTATTATTTAACATGTAAAACCATATTCTTTTTTTTTTTTTTTTTGTACCAGAGATCAAACTCAGGACCTTGAGCTTGCCAGGCCATATTCTTTCTTCAAGGGTCAGTTTAAATTCCCTAAAAAGTGGGGTTTTTTTTTTCACCAAATATGAGTTACAAAGTAAGTTGGGTGTGGCGGCACATATCCGCACATATCCGTAATCTCATCACTCCAGGAGGCTGAGGCAGTAGGATCACAAGGTTAGCCTTGTTTAGGCAACTTAGTGGCTTCTCTTTTTCTTTTCTTTTTTTTTTTTTTTTTTGGTATGGCCTGCTCAGCCAGCCCTAGGGGCAGGGCTAGCACAGTATTTGGTGTTGGGGATTGAATAGTGGTCCCTGAGCTTACCTGAGCTTACCTAAGCTTGCCTAAGCAGGCGCTTTAGACTGCTGAGCTATCTCACCAGCCCAATTTATTGGTTTCTTGAAGTCCTATTTTAAAATAGATGGGATACAGCAAGGACCTAGGCTCAATCCCCAGATTGGGGCAAGGTGTTGGGGATATAGGGTGATGAGTTCCAAAGTATATGGACAAGAAATACAAATGTGTGTATTTTTTAACGTCATTTTTAACATCATACATTAACATGTGGATTTTTTAGAATTAGATTTTAAACTATACAGCTGGGTATAATGGTGCACACCTTCCTCTCAGCACTTAGGAAATTGAGGGAGGAGGACTGCTATGAGTTTGAAGCCTGCCTGGGCGCCATAGCAGGTTCAAGGCTAGCCTGAAGAGTAAGACCTTATCTCAAAAAAAAAAAAAAAAAAAAAAAAAACCCTACTATATCTAGTAGTATTTTAATTTTTTTATTTTTTGAATGTTTATTTGGTACAGGGTTTTGCTTTTCATTTGAGTAAAAAGTCAGAGGTAGGGCTGAGAGTATATGGCTCAGTAATAGTGCTTGCCTACCATGTTAAAGGCCCTGAGTTCAATCCCTAGTTCCAAAGGGGGAAGAGACAGAAATAAGTATTCATGAAGTTGATGTATAAATTACACTTAGAAGATATTTTTTGTTTTACATACACTCTTTACCACAACCATATACATTACATAAAAGGGATTTGTTCTAAATCAAAACTCATGGGCTGGGGAGATAGCTCAGTGGAATAAGTGCTTCCCTGGCAAACACAAGCGCCTGAGTTCAATCCCCGGTTCCGCAAAAAAAAAAACCTCATAAACATAGGCAGGTTCATATTTGTGCCCAAATTCAAATGTCAGCACCACTATTTAGAAACCTAATACCAATGACTATATACTTTACAGCCACTAGCTCATGTGTGAGAACCAGCAGCACTTCACAGAAGATAGAAATTACTAGGAAGACACTCTGGAGTCTGACACTATACTGTAAATCTTACTTTTACTTTTAACTAGTTATGATCTTATATATAAATTATTCAACTTCTTTCAGACTGAGATTATATCCCTATAAACTACAGATAACTACCACCTAAAAAGATTATGGTAAAGATATAAGATGACACCTGAAAAATCACATAGTGTATCAAAAGAAATCAAATATCAGGTATTTTTTTGTGTGTGTGTGAGCAGAATATATTTATTAAGGGAAAGAAAGCTCCTGTTCGAGAGAGGTACAGCAGGGGCGCCTAGTGGGTAGTCCCCAGGATCTTATTTTCTATTGACTTAAGATTTCAATCTGAACTTGTAATCTTTTTCCATTGACACAATGTTTCAAATAGTGGATAATCTGATTAGCATAGTAGTTCAAGTTAGGATGACCCATACAACCACCTGTAATATTTTAGAGTGGAACAGTGAGAGGACACAGCACCCCCACACAAAAATACTCAAAAGAATTGAAAATTTGTACAAACTCAGCAGATGAATAAATCATGCAAAATGCATAATTTAAAAGTACAAACAAGTTATAACTTTAACAAGTGGACATTCTCCATATTACTGTAAACTGGGCCAAGAAGAATATTTTGAAGCCCAGGTTCTATAACTAATTTTTTTTTTCTTTTTTTCTGTATTTTAGGGAAGGGTCTACAGGGTGTTCAGGGTCTCGCTACGAGATCAGACTCGTAGTGATCCGCCTGTTTACAGCCTCCCAAGTGCTAGATTACAGGCACGTGCCATGACGCCCAGCCTCAACTGCCCTCTTAGCAGGCCCCAGGGGTGGGGCTGGCACGGCAGGCACGGGGATCGAACCCCTGGCCCCTGTGCCTGCTTGTAGGCACTTCAATCTGCTATTTGGCTGGCCCCTAAAATGTTTTATAATTTGAGTATGTACTGCAGAATCTTCAACATCATGAAAGTTAAATAATATTCTCAATTGTGATTTTGTTAGATTTGAACTTTTCTCTGCATGGAAAAAAGAACACTTATCTTAAAATAAATCTGGAATAATCTGTTCTTCATATAAAGTGTATGGAAAGCAATGAATATTCTTACCTTATTAATGGTAATGATGTTATTTGCAATTACAGCTAGTAATCCCACATCTGTAGGCCTGTGATCAAAAATCGGTAGTTAAAATTGAACACATCTTTAAAAAGTTTTATCGCCTCTAAAAAAAGGTACTTCACTTCTACAGCTCACTTACTTGAGTTTTATTATTTGATTGTAAAGCTGCAAAGCCTCCTCTGTACAACCCTGAAGCTGCAGGATGTAGGCCATCTGACCATGAATGATGGCCAGTTCTGCCTGTGGGTCTTCCTCCATCCCATCCTAAGCAAAAGAGGAAATATTTTTTTCTAATACATTTTCCAAACTGATCTAGTACTTTATAGCAAGTAAAATATATGAAAGATACATAATCTTCGATAAGGCATATAATTTCAGGAATTTCTCCTGATGACTCAGTTGTTTAAAATTTAAAACTGTCATAAAAGAGAGTTAAATTTAAGGGCAAATAACAAAAAAAATCTTGAAAGAAGATGACAAAAAACCTTGGGAATATCATGTATTATTCATTATTATTTCTAAAGCCCAAGAATGAAAAAAGTAATGTTAGTCAGGTGTGGTGGTAAACATCTGCAATCCCAACACTTGGGAGGCTGAGGCAGGAGGATCATTATGAATTTGAAGCCAGCCAGGGTTACAAAATTCTCAAGGCCAGCCTGTTGCACAGCAAAACCTTGTCAAAAAAAAACTAATGTAAGAAAGACACATGCAGGTTCAGTTTTTTTATGATCCCTCTAAATTCTGGAAGTACAATTTTCTTGTAAGAACACATTTTTAAAGTGCTTTTCAATTCTACCATAAACTCTTTAATTAATACTCTAAAAAGAACTTCAAAAGCTGGAATGAGTTCTATCATTGATTTTGTAACTAATCCCAAACAGCTAGCTCTCTTAACTAATGTGCCACATGAATTCACTCTCCAGCCCTACAGGTGTGGTGAATGCTCAAAGCTTAGAGGCTTCTCCACCCAGCACCCTGCCTCTAACCTGATGAATGCTGACCAGGAGTCAGATGTTTGTGCACAAACATGTTATGCCCATTATGTGATACACAAATGGAACCACTTACACATTACAGTAAAAGATGAAACATAAGCATGAAAACAGGCTTGTTTCAATGTCAACCATGCTCTGAGAGGTTTGCTAGAGAACAGAAAATTACTGTCTAACTACACAGGAGCCAAAAACTGATGACTGGTAGGGGCTAACACCTAACAAAATTCTGCAGTGAAACTATTTCTTGTCTTATTGTTCTTAAAAGAAAAAGCAGACATTAAGAATGCTGGATTAGGGCCAGCCAGATAACAGTAGACTGAAGGGCCTGCTTAGGCAGAGCACAATGGCCAGGTTTGATCCTCAGCATTCGGTGCCAGTGCGCTGAGATGGGCATGGTGGTGCGTACCTGTAATCCCAGCAGTTGGGAGGCTGAAAACAGGAGAATCACTACAAGTCCGATCTACATAGTGAGACCCTGTACTAAATAT